GTCTGTCATTGAGCTTCTTTTTCACAAATTTCCTTGGTATGTTCTTTGTTGAACCTTAACTTATTTAACATGTAGTTGATTATAGAATGTGGCTTGTTCTCTCTGCCTCCAATTTCTCTCTTGTTAGGCAATACCCACATCATCATAGTGTCGTTCAAGCTCTTGATTGGACGACATCGTAAAAGCTGACTTACATCAGGTGCCATTGTAAATAAATCAAAGCACAGGAATAAGGGAATCACACGAATAGAATGAACTTTGCGTGATAAGGTTATTTTTGTAGTATTCTCTTGCTGCTTTTTATAAATTATGGAGTTCTTACAGTTGTTTTCCTAATTTCATTATTAAACATATGTTGTCAATCATTAATTAAAATATTATGAGTATTTTCTATGAAATAATCCATGAACTTCCTATAACATTTATACTGTGCAAACAAGTCTGTTATGCACAGTAAGTCCAAAGTAAGATTTTCCTACATCGACTTCATCCACCCGCTTTGAATAATGTGAATATTAAATGGTTAATTCAAGAATTATCCAGATTCTAACAGCCATAACATCTGGATTGCAATTGACCCAGATATAGCATGTGTGTGGATTAAAACACCAAAATTATAATGTAAATGTTAACAAATCTTCACAATATAACACCAACTTCACTACTGCCCTCAGAAACTGGGCATGTGTAAATCTGGAACATACGGTATATGACACAATCATGAGAAATAACATAATTTGTTTTACTTTCACTTTCTTTACAATAAGATAAAATTCATAATTTTGTGAAAATAATAAAAATAAATATGTAATTGAACAACACAATTAAAATTGCAATGTGCAATGTACTTCTTTATAAATACAAAACTGTGTAACTTCATAAACAAGACAACCCCTCCCTCTCTTTGCCCAAGTTCATACTTCTCAATGATTTAGTAGACAGCCTCCATGGGTTCCTTCACTAAAATCTACATTTGAAGTCTAATCATTCTTGATATATTTTTTTAAAATGATTCTACACATGTGTAATTATTTTATCCAAATTTATTTACAAATTTATTAAAACAAATATAAAACAGCACTGTACAGGCATAAAATGAGCATGAAATTGGCAAGTTGAAAAGTCCAATTCCTACAATTATGCATTATCAACTCCTGCTGATCTTTGTACATCTTCAGAGCTCAAAAACAAGTATTTTCTCAAGATTCACTTTACAGATAAACAGTGAATGACTAACACAGATCAGAATATTGATGACATGTAACTGTACTTTTTCCACTTATGCAAGCAATTTGAGAGATGGGTAGCAATAGAAGTTGTTTCTACAGAAGATATATTATATAATTTGCTAATATTTTTTACCATTTTCAACGCAACATAGTAACTGTACACTTCAGTTCAATTGCTAGTGTTATACTTCATAAAAAGTAAACCAACAATTCACTAACATGTGTAAACAACATATAATTAGAAACCAAAGAAAAGATCAAGCTATGACAACTCATCTAGACAAGACATGTCATAAAACAATGCAATTATTACTTGGCAACTCTATTAATTTGATGTATTTTTTATGGGGCACAACATGAAGGATATTCCCCACAAATCACTTTTGACTAGTCTTTTACATGTAACATGTATTTACAAAACTTTCCAAAAACATTGGCTAACCTTCTTAGCTTCAGCCTTGCCTGATTTGAGAGTGACATTGCACCAACTATATACCATATGAAAGTGTGCAACAGTAAATTCATATTGAAATATTACAAGGTATTTCATAAAAGTAAAATAATACAGGTATGTTGTAATATCTCAGTAAGTACCAGATAGTTAATATCAATAATGTATGGCAAGTCAAAATGCTATTTAATAATAAGAGAGTACATTTTAAAGAAATTCTAGTTTACTATTCAAAATGTACATAAAATATAATTCAAAAAAATTTTTACCTTTTTTCTGATTGTACAATGAATGCTAACACATGTGAATGGTTGATCAATGAATATTACTTAATCTTCAAACCGTCAAGCGGTGGGATATAGGTCAACCCCACATTTCCATTATGACATAGTATAGACACAGACACTATGTTTCGATATATTAATGAGTTGAATCTTATATTTCACAGTACATTTCATCTAAACCAGTCGGTTACCATGGATTAGTTTTTGGATATTTACAGCCCCCCCATTTGACTGTTCTTGGTCTATTTTTTGAACTTTTAATTTCCATATAAATTTGTTGGTATACTCCAAAGGATATGGGAAGTTTTTCCCAACACTGCTGCTTATAATATTTCCTTGGTATTCATATTATTTAATCTTCTTCTTTTTTCTCTCTCTCTTTTCGGAAAATAACTTTTGGATGGAGCTTAGGTTTTCACATTAAATGAAAAGGAAATTAGACAACGAGATGAGGATTTGAATCTGAGAGAAAAGTTTGTAAATGTGATGATTTGAATTACTAGCTCAATAAAATATTACTGGCATTTCTTGTGTACATTTGTAAGAGTGGAAGCAGCTACTTGCACAAATGGAGGAACGTTTTTAAATGAATGTGACTAATTTTGCAAAATACGAATATGAGAGCCAAGAGGATAAAATCAATTGTGCTCATAGGGAGCATGTCTGATAATTACACAGTATATATATTTATATATACAAATCACAAAAGAAATCCTTTTTCATGTACATTCTGCAAAATGAAAAATGGATAAAATGCAGGATATAGGATAGGGATAAATCTGTAGAAACTGAGAAAGAAAAAACATTCAAATTCAATAATAATGTTCAAGATTTTCCTTTTTGCAGGTATGGTCAATTCTCACTTATTGAAGGTGGAAAAGAAACAAACAAAAAGCAACCACTATCTCATTTCAATAATAAATTGGTAAATGAGGCAACTAAACTGCAATAACCAAGACCATTAAATGAATCCAGGGTATATTAACACAACCTTTTCTGCTATTTCTGTAATAAAAACAAAATATAAATTCGAGAGCCCAAAGATATACAAATTGACATGTTTGAAGGAAAGGAGAGGGAAAATGAAAAGCGCTTGTCAGTAAATGCCTCCGTAACCTTATAAAAAACAGCCAGAAAGCATCTTAATGTCAAAAATTACAAATAAGTTCACTCTGGCTGCTTTCACTTTAAGATGTTCTTCCTATTTCCACAATTTGAAAGGTATTAGATAAAATTTATCAGTAAGAAAGTTTAGAATATGAAAGTTTTCAAAATCAAATTTAGTAGAAGTTGCAGTGCTGGATATATTGTTTCAACTAGATTGTGGTATATTTATATTCTAAAACCCATTAGGAATAATTATTTGGCATCTACCGATAATTTAACAACTGATCTATAAACATAATATTCCAAGTGATACTGAGGTATGAACATGGTGTTTTTATTTGTTAAATCAATACAAAGTTTGTGCAAGCTTTTCTCATCAAATCATCACCCAATGATTCACAATATTGTTGTCATAAAAACACATTCAGAAGACAATGAAATAGGTTAAATGCAATAAATCTGCCTTAAAATAAGAAGGAAGTAAAAAGAGGCTTACATTTGAGAGCAAATAACCTCACTACTAATCCATTTACATTATGGCAAGGATTTTAGTATTAGCAATATACACATGGTAATATTTCCCAAATATTTACTGTGCTGCCTGCGATTTGCAATCATTGACAGACTCAACACCAATTCATAAATATAACACTTTTATTAATATTGCTACATTCTTCATACACTGTTCAAAATATCTGTTTACAAATGTAGATTATTGATATACAAAAGACTCTTATAAGAATATTCTATACTTATACAGATGGCAACTTTGTTTTCATTAACTGATCTTTGGATATGCAAATCAAAGGCCACCTGATGCAATACAAGGAAACAAATGACTAGGAAAAGGAGAGATTATGAAGACTTTCCACACTTTCCAACAAAACAATATCAAAAGACAGTGTTGAGAATTCTTGAAATTTGTCAGCATTCATTGTAGATTATCCATTTACATATAACACAATGTTTACTTAAGTTTCCTTGAACAGTAAAAATCTGATGATTTGTATTACACATCAATATAAAGATACATTTCTTACTTTCTTAACATACTATTTTAGCACCTCCTTTGTACGTGATACTAAAAGAACTTTTTTTTAAATTACAAAAACCATTTATGAAATAACAACTAAAATTTTCTAAACTATCTTATATCAGAATCCACTATAAAAATTAGAACAAATTACTGCCATCAGATATCTAATTGTTCAAGTACACAGGGGGAGCACAATTGTGTCTTGGTATAAGTTTGAGTCAGGATTATCTGCAACACGCTATTTTCAAAGCAAAAATTTGCATAATATTGATGGTTTGTGAAGTTCATAATGTAATGTACAGGTGTGTGAGATTTGTCGTCACAGTATCACAGTTACTGGTATTAGGATATTTTAACCTAGACTAAAGCCAGTCTAATTTTTGACTACTGTTCATTACTTACTTATGAGAACTTATTAGTTCTCGCAATGAATGAAACATTTGATTACATTTAATGAGCACATTCAATTTTAGAAAAGATAACGCCATAAAACTGTACAGGAAGAACATGTTTATCTCCTTTTTCAACAGTTAACGACCAATGGATCACTCCTTCAGGATTGCCCACAATTGTAGATGACTAGGAACATAATATTTATATTAAAAACCGAATAAAATTTCAATTGTAAGTAATGAAGATACATTATATTCACTGGTTATGTTAATGTTATGTATGGTGCATACACTTTTTACAGAAAATTGATAACCAGAAATTGCTGAATGGATGGCAATTATTGCATTAGTGTATTTCACATGAGTGGTACATACAGCAATTTTACAATGTGAGAAACTTATCTTCATTTAATATATTGTACAAAATTGATCAAGTGTTCATTTTATGTTTTAATGAAGAGATGATCAATCTTTATAGATTTTGCAACAAAAAGAACTTCTTTAGAATCTATCCTCAAAGTGAAGCTAAGAAGCAAAACCAATAAAAGAAAATAAAAATTTGAACATACTATGTGCAAGGAAATTGGGATATAACTCAATAAACTAAGAGTACCAACAAGCCAAGCAAATGATTTCAAAACCAGACCATTAGTGGAAAATCTGTCAGAGAAAATGAACATTTTTAGCAAGGAGACCTCGGTGTGCAAAGTCAAGCTGTACATTCCGATCAAGTTGAAGGCATCCCAGACAAAAAAGTATAATGTTTTGGGTAAAATTTCAGCCGATGTTGTCACTATCAACATATTTAAAATTACGTAGTCTAGAGTACACCTTAAATTCTGGCTGTAAATTCAATTCAATTTTAAATGAACATTTGTGCCTTGCACAAATTCTTCAAAATTCATGTTACTCGTTACATTGTGCAGATTGCAATTGTCTACTTCTATTTCCTCCCCTTTTATATTATGACATGATTGCACTCACACATTAAAAAAGAGACTCAGAGAAAAAGTAAGTAAATTATTTATTTTTTATGATTTTTTTAAAATTTAGTGTACCTACAATGATTTTTGGAAGACAATTTCAATTGCAAAGAGATTCAAAACAAATGGGATTATCTAAAACAGATTTCTCAGAGATAAAAGTTGTGATGCACAAGGATTATGCAACACTAAACAATCTAAATTCAGTATTGAAGCTGTCAGAACAAAAGTGGCCTAGACATATTACACCATATTTTAGACCATATTTTTTGTATTTTCAGTGGAACAATTTTTAATGGGGCAAATAATTCCAAAGACATTAAATTTTAAAGAGAAAGTGCTGCAGTTTGATATTTAATTACTGCATTATATTACAGAAAATTCATTTTGTTGCTTTGGTAAGCAGATTACACTGAAGGTTATCATTATTAAAAATGCCAAATTCTTTGGTAAAATCCAGAATTTCGAGCGGATTTTATTACTTACTAGTGGTCCCTGCAGTGCTTCACTATTGCAATGTATTACATTTCACATGTTACTGGCATGTGATTGTTAATCACATTTTATGCTATGCTCTGCAAAAATTTCAATAGATGAAAGACTTTCCTGCCAGTGTGGTTCCGTCTGTCTGTGTCTCTCTCTTTCTTTCTCTCACTGCGTGTCTGTCTCTGTCTCTCCTGGGACAAATTTTACAATCGCAGGGGCAGAATACGCAATGAATAAGTCTTAATAACTGTACTCGAGTGTGCCGTGGGTTGTGTAACGAGCACCATGTCATAAAGCGCTCTCATCAGGGCCCTTGAGTCTACACAAAATCATCATCAATGCATGTTTATGTGCACCCATCACACTATGCCTATATTCTTTCCGGAAGTGCAAGCAATGTGATAAAGTTTTATTGCAATCGGATGTACAGTACGGTAGTGAATTAAGCACGAATCAACAAATAGACATTGTTTTTTATATATTAGATTTTTTAAATTATACAAAGTGGGATCAACTCAGATGAATGGAGTGACAAAAATAGGAATATTAAACTGGGAGTTCCCCATCAGTTTATCATTTCCAGTCCTAAATAAACTACAGCAATAATCAATCTCAATTTTCTTGTTAGTGGCCATTCATTCATATCTTGGGAAATTTAGGCCTGTTTGAAAAATTAAAAACCTTATTTAAAAATATATTTTTGAAGCTTACAACAAAGAATAAGTTATTCTGACATCTAGCAAAACAAGACCATTTAAAATAATTATATGGGTAAAGATTTACTTTTTTTTCAAATAGATTTCAAACAAACATCACCACTCTCAAGTTTCAGTAGATCAAAGAAATATGGCTAAAAAAGCAATGATTAATATTGATATAAAAAAGTAATGTCAGTTCTGCAAAACTTTATCAATTGATAACCCAATTTTCATGAAATTCCCTGTAACTGTACTATTCTATAAATTAATGTTTTATTTTTGACCTAATCTCGTAATTATTTTTTAAAATGTAAATGCAAAAACGCCAAAGTTACAAATTTCTTAGAAATGCTTTCGTCCCCCCTCTTCCAAATTCATTCCAGTTAAAGGGTAATATGCTGAAATAACAAAAAACTTGCTTGAAATTGCACTTATTTTTAAATTAAAATTATAGTGGAATTTGAAGTTTAAATGATCATTCAAAGTTCATTTACTCTGACAAGCTTAGGTGCCTTTTCTGCAGTCTGCCTCAATTGTATAAAATCAAAACTTCCTTGATTTTTGTTCCATTGGAAAAGAACATACAATTATTACCAATTAAAAGCACCACAATCATTAATTATTGAAACAGGGGAAAAAAAAAAAATATCACATTATATACTGCTGTCATGTACTTATCATAATTACACAAAGTGCCTACCATTTTTTCGTAAACCTCACAATCATTCACTCAACCCAACAAAGCAATGTAACAGTTATCGAAAAGAGATTCTCATACATCAGGTACTGTTCCCTAGTGTATTCATTTGAGATGGCAGTGCGAAAATTGCTGTCAAGGGGCAAACAAAATGTCTAGAAGTACAATATATTTGAAATTGTTCAATTCATAGTGGCCAGCAAATTTCCTCTTTGAACTAAGCATATACTTGATGGGACCTCTTTACACGGAATTTAATAATAGTATAAAAATAACAGCTGTAAAAGGGGTCGAAGTTCTATTGTTAGTTTCATCACCTTCGGGCATGTGCGGTTACACAAAAGAAAATTTGCAGCCACTATGCCAGATATTGTCACATTCCTTGGGATTTAAATGTGCAAATAACAAATGAAGAAACACACAACAAACCCAAGATGTTTAAAGAAAATAAAAAAAAACCAACTCATAATACACATTCTGTCATCACTGCAATTTCAATCCATCGAAGTTTCACTATGGTTTTCACGGTCTTGAAATTGGTGATGGTGCAACATATATTTACTAAAAGACAACTCATTAAGAGATTAATATTGTAACTATTCACAGGAATATGGTAAAAAGCAAATATTTAAGCCATGTAATGCAAATATTGTCTTTGCAATATTATCACTGCTTTTGAAAATGGGTACTGTAGACTTGCAATTATCCAAAGTCCCTGAAACTCAGAGTACATCAAATATGATAAACTGATAATTCTGAGTACATGGTTTACCTTTATTTCACTTTTCTGTTCAATTTCCAATCATTAACAAAAATTTCAATTTCTAATTCACACCAACTTTTTAAGATGATTCACCTAATCAATTACATGTTTGATAAGCAAATCCAATGATTATCGAATGCAGAGAAGTTTCAGTATTCCCTGAATTGTTGATATTATTGACCAGTGCCCATGTCAGCTCACTAATGTTGAACCAACTAAGAACTAGTAACATTACTGCATTCCATTTTTCAATGCATTATTATGTAGTTTTTCTGACAACTGCCGCTGTTAACCTTGAGCCTCAGTAAAACAGAACTCTGATAACTCCAAGTCTACTATACTAAAGAAGGGAAAAGACGCATATGTCTGTATCGTAGTTAAATAATTCAAAGGAAATACAACCTGTTACCAAAAGTAGAACTGCAATAAATTTCACAAAATTAAAGTAAAATTTGATTTTGAGGATACAACTGATTGAATTCTTAATAAAATAATTTGTGTCATCAAAACAGACATTTTCATATAACACAAACCAATAGGATCATCGAGAGTATTTATAATAAAGTCTCTTCACTCACTTGATACGACCAACATTTTTACATGATACATTAATTTGTTTATCAGGATGAAACTTTCTTCCATAATTTTTTCACACGTGATGTATCATCAAAAAGACTTCTAAGCATAATAACCTGAAAAATGCATACCATAATAAAGTATTAAAAATGGGCCATGTTTTGACTTGTGATAAAGAAAGGAGACTGACAAAAACAGTAAAATCTGTCTAAACCAGAACGTGAACGAGCCAGAAACGTGCCTTAACCAGAAAATTTCTCCTGCCTGTGAAGTTAAATGGCATTTTCACAGCATGAAATGGAACCTCTCCAACACTAAAACGAAACAGTTTTTCATGTCCTGCTTAGGAAAAAAACCTTTATGAAATTGAATTCCTACTAGTTTAATGCAATAGGCAGAGCCAGAAGATGTTCTTAGCAATTTAGGTATGGCAGCCGGACATTGAAGGAGAGGGGCTTCAGCTATCAGTATAGAATTCAACCTTGGGGTCACTTGTATCTCAAGGTGTAGGCCTTAGGGGAATTCCCTCTCTCCCAACTCTGGATATGGGAAGGTGTATGGTTTCTATTCATGAATCTCCCTGCCCCATTTATAATATTATAACCCCTCGAACAGATAATCATTGCTCAAGGCCATGCGAGTATATCAGAATGTTCTAGTACTGGGTTGTGACGAATTGTGCGTTGAAAGAGTTAGCAAGCTGTCCGAATACAGCCAGTAAGGTGCATATTTTTCAACTCAGAACCTGTCAATGAAGTGTGTCTAATATTAATTTATTGGTAATTTCTAGCATAAGTATGTTATATGCTAATATATTTTGATATAGACATGTAATTATAATAAAGACATGTATTTTACTATTTTCAGAGCAGAAACGTTATCACGAGCGTCATAAAATGCAAGCCTTGCATAAAACGGAAACCTCCCTAAACCGGAATTTTTGTGGCCCGATCGATTCTGACACAGACAGATTTTACTGTAGTGAATTCTCAATACAGAACACTTCTATTTTAAAAACCCTTTGTATGAATAAGCATAGCTTGTATTCGTACTGTGTAAGAGACAACCCAAGAGCATTTTATTAAAAACATTGAGCATCAACTGCATAAACTGCCACTATAAAAGAGACTAAATCTAGAGATCTATTGAAGATGACACTGACACTTGTGGTACAAAAAAGATAAATAAACAACACCAAATAAGACAATTTTGACGTTGGGTTTATCGAGTCTTTTCACTTATGAAAATATGTCACTTACTAACTTATAATTTAAAAATTAAATAAAATAGGGGTAATATTTAAATTACGCTTTGATGGTAATTGATACATCAAAATCATTTCCAAGAAACAAGTTCACTACAATTTTATTTCAACAAAGAGTTTAAATAATAAAGCTAGAGTCAGCAATAACTATCTGGACCAACATAAATGCTCTACATGATAAAATTCACACAATACATCATTAATCCGTTAACATCCACTGTCGTCATTTGACAACATTCAGTTTCAATTTTTCTTTTGAAGTCTATGTTCAAATTTGAAAGTTATTATTAAATGCACTTGTTTCTTATGGTATTTAGATCTGGACTATAACAAATAAAATCCAGTGAATAATTTTATGACACCAAAAAATAAAACATTCCAAAAGATATTTACTGATACAAATATGGTTCTTGGGAAATTATTCTTCATTATATGCAAAAGGAATATTTTTCACTAAAATAATAAATATATCTTAGTAAAAGTACCTAAAAATTGAAAATAAAAAGACTTTTAAAATAATTATAAACAGGGCTTCACAATAGAACAATAAATTTAAGTGTTGTCAAATGATGACAATGAGTGGATGTCACTACTGCAGAATACAATGTACCGCAGCCACAATGATGGTTACGTCCAGAAATGTAACAACATATTCACAGTTGGATTGATAGTAACAGACAAGTTAAAACCCTGTTTGTCTTTGGATTGCCAAGAGAGAACATGTGAACCCATTTTTACAAAAATAATATTCACAACTATAGGCAGAAAGTGAGTGTACTTTCAGTTTTTTTGAGTATTTCATCAGTTCTTTCAGGCATCTACATAGAATTTATAAAACAAATGTTTCTTTGGAAAGGTATCAAAAATGTATAGTGGATGCTACGACGATGCTACTCTACTATTATTAGAAATTAGAGCATTTCTTGAAGAGTCAAATGTTGATGAAGTATGGTGGTCATTTGCCCCTAAAGTTGACAAGCTGAGTGACTTGGAACATACTGTCAAGGAGATGTGTGTGTCTATGATGATGCTCTTGTTGAGGATGACATTGGTGATATGGAGATCATTACACCCTCAACGCTTAAAATAATACCAATAGTAGGTCCCAAACAACAGAGCCAAATGTAGTGAATCTGCAAAATATGTTACCTGAAGCGACAACTCTCAGCACGTTGGTTGGAACAAGCAATACAAATATCAAAGCAGGGGGAACATGGTGAACAGCTAAAGAAAAGAATATCACATCCAACGCAGGCTCTGTGGAAGAGAGTAGTGCTGGTTTACAATAAATTCAAAGATTTAGATTCAAACTGTAATAATTTGATTCAGATATAGAAAGAAAAGTACTTTGCTCATTCATCCTCAAAATTATGACATTCATTACAAAAGATACAGTGCGCTTTTCATCAAATAAAAATGAAAGTAGCTTTGTTTTCTCAATTGAACTGAAAATGTTTCTTGGAATTCTGTTGGTCTGGATACAGAAAATTTCCTTCAGAAAGACTGCATTAGAGCCAAGACAATATGTAGGATGTCCAACTGTAAAGAACGCAATGAGTTGCAAGAGGTACTTGAAAATAAAATCCAGAATTCATTTTTAAAACAATGATCTCGCAAAGAGTAATAAGCATGATTGGGATTTCAAAGTGAGGCTCATGAGTAAAGCTAACTTTCACAAATTTGGTACTTTTGAACACAATCTTGCAGTAGATGAAAAGCTGATAAGTTTGGGAAAAAAAAGTCTCAATCAGTTTATTCTTAGAAAGTCCATCCACTTTGGCTATAAGTTACGAGCACTTTGTGGATCATTGGGATACTGCTACAATTTCAACCTACATGTCAGTTGTGATCCTGCTGATGAAGATTTGAATGACTTACCTTAGGCTTGTGAATGGTACAGTGTATGTTAGAGTGTGTCTCATCATCACAAAAGCACCCTATTTTTTTTGACAACCTATTCACTAGTCTAGATTTACTCATTCATCTTGCTGACCAGGGTTTCAGAGCAACAAGAAAGCTTCGTCAAAATCGCTTGCAGAAACGAGCCATTGACAATGCGAAAGTGCTAAAGAAAAAAGGAGAGGATCGTTTGACTATAATTTACATCAGAATGGTGAGATCTGTTGAGGTGGCTAGTAATTTTGATGAGGTTATTCCAACAAAATCTGTGTTTTAGTAACTGAAACAAGAAGGAAGAAAAAAAGAAGCGCTGTTCCTCAACCAATATTGACACATGAATACAACACAGGAATGGGTGGTGAAGATCTCCATGACTGGTTGATTAGAAAATACCAAACTAACACCAGGGGTAAAAAGTGGTATTGGCCCATATGTGTAAGACTTTTAGACATGGCTTAAGTAAATTGCTGGTTGCTTTACAGGCAAATCACAGCTCAAAAACACTCTCACTGCTGGAATGAAGACATGTTACAATTGCACTACTGAAAGTTAGTCCTCGATTCACTCATGCTCCAAATACTTCATACACAGTTCCTGGTACCAGATATGATGGCATTAACAATTTCATCGCAAAAGATAAAAACAGCGCAGATGCCAAGCATCGAACTGCAGGAAGACTCCCTGCAAATATTGCATGAAATGCAAAATCACACTGTGCATAGAATGTTTATCCCACCATACATTAGCATCAATCTAAAATACATTTATATACATGATTATGAATTTTTTTAAGTTGTTCCCAACCTCAATGTAACAAGAAAAATATTTTTTTTTAAGTGACATTGTTGAAATCCTGTATAATATGGAAAATACCTAAAAATGTTATTAAAGTACTAATGATACTCTTTCCGCCCAATGTCATCATATGACGACGGGTGTTTCTGAACTTATGAAAGATCGTAGGGATAAAATTACATTGGATTATGATTTCTACATTATTAGAGGGCTAAATTCTCATATTTGATAACTTTTCTATAAAAAAAGTTGGGTGTGAATAGGCTGTCACTATCAACATCAACAACAAAAACATTTTCAGTAAAGTTTAGTAGGCTATTGATACTCACCTGTACAAAGCCAACAATGAGCATAATTATTATTTGAATAATGGACCAAGAATTCACCCTAAAAAAGTTACTTTCTGCAATGTTTCTATCACGTGCTTCAAATGCTCTGACAGTATCTTGTAAATGACGTATTTTGTTTAGGTGACCTCGTACTCTTGAAATTGCATCCTGCAAAACATGGTATTACATGGTATAACATTTTCTGATTAAAGAAATAGTTTCTGAATCTGACATAAAACATAAATGGAATCAAATTACAAGAAGCGTATGATTAAACAACTAGCACATACCATCTCATATTATTGCTAATGGTAATATAATAATGGAACTTCTGTCCTACTAACACTTGAAAAATCAGTAACATCACTTGAGAAACTTCTAATCAAAGCAGCAAGGTTAAAAAAATATAATACTATAATTTTTAGAAAATCCAAAAATTTGGATAAAAACTAATTTTGGGCATTGATTTTGATGTATTGTGCTCTCTATTCCTACAAAATGTTGAAAGAAAAAGTGGTCAGGTCTGTCTTTGAACTCTTGTGTTAACATTCACAACACAAGAGTTGGAACTCCATGCTACAGATTCGTATGTGGAATACTGTTTGTCTCAAATGCTACTATAACTTCTTAATGTTGGGGCAATACTAACACACTGATATGAAGTACTTCAAACACAAAAACTATTAATACCTAAAAATAAAAGTGTAAGTGATATTTCTTGAAAATCTAATACTAAGAAATAGATTGAATTAAGCAAAAAATTTCTATCTTTAATAATGTAATTGTAGAAGTTTTTTGTGAGGAACTTTTGCAATATTTTAATTTAAGAGAATAATTCATGAAAATCAAACTTATACCATGTTATTAAGCAAACATTGTTCTATTCAAGCAAAAATCATTAACATCAAAACTGTTTCAGAGAAAATATTGTTTATATATTTTTACTCTCCAGTATACATACATATATACAGAGTAATATATGTAGTAAAGGAAAAATTACATAATGATGCAGAAAATCGATTTCGAGATTTCAACGGAAATATATCAAGTCCCGAGAAAAAGTGGCTCTTTTCAAAACATCTGTCTGTGAACACTAATAACGCATAATCCATGGTCTATGGAAAGGATTTTTTTTTTTTTTTAAATTTCTTGTAAGAATGCAGAAAACGCACCTCTAAAGGTGCCATAGGTCTGATATTCACTGTAAACTATGAATTTTCAAAAATTTGATTTTTTTTTTAGTTTTCCTACAAAATTGAAGATAGAGATTTTTTGTTCAAATAAAATTTGTCCTCCATAGTTCTTTCTTTTATCTTTTGGTAGGGATAGTTCTAAATGCACTTAATAAAATGACATAAATGCCACATTTCTCTATTCTTTTGTTTTTTCAAAAATTACAAAAATGTTTTTTCTTTTCACACATCGTTAATATTTACATTAGCAGCAATTTGTTCACATTATTATATTTATGTCTACATGTGCTTTAAATAATATTATATAAATTTTCTCAAAAACTCAACAGTTTTGTGGGAAAATTAGTTCAAAATTCCGCATTTTCAGAAACACATTTTCATAATCCTCTATTTCATATACATCATTTTCTCAAAAACGGCTCCAAATTTTTTCTTAAAACTTCTTGAATGGATAGTGCTAATTGCACTCTTTAATATGACAAAGTTTTTCAAAAATTACCCTAATCCAATGAAGTTTTTTGAATACCTAAAATTTTCTGTGAAAGAGCTTGAAATTTCGAATTTAGCGACATTTTCTTAAAAAAGGGTCCAAATTTTTCAAAAGACATTGGCTTTTTGGATGAGGTTTTACTGTTCTTTAATATACTTAAAATAAAATTTCCATTCTACTATTAAGAAACCGAAAATTCAGTAAATTTCCAAAACGTACTTTGGGTAGCGATAAATGGCAGCTGGCCAGAAAGCGGCAAGGTCATATAGCAAGCTGAGAAAAAGGAAATAGAAAACTAATATGGAAAAGTCTGTGCCATTCTGTAACACTACTAGTTACATTTTCAACTACTAGCATAGAACAGAGAAAGTATCGTGGCAAAAAATGGATTTTTCAATAGAACAACTCGTATTGTGGGGATCTGATATTGAAAAAGTGGATAAACCTTAATCCTATGTGTAGTAAATTACTGCCTCTAAAACATTGAATAGTCAGAATCCATCTTTTGTGGCTCTTATAATGGAAAAGCAAGCAAAATGTTAGTCTGTCTATGCTCAATATCATCTACATCATACAAGCGATATTTCCAGATCAATCTGCCCAATCTTGAGGGCCTGCAAGATTGAAAGGGATACTTTGATTTTTGGGGGTACTTTTTCACGGCATAAAAACACTTAAAAATTGCAAAAAATCAACATTTTTTTCTATGTCTTCCATCAACTGCAATACAGTGTATAATATGTAAAGTATACTTCCTACAACTACAATGTTATGTAGATAGATTATTTTTCCTTCAAGAGATCCATTCTTCAGAAACAGATCTTTAAATAACACTACGTAAAATTTTTTGAAAATATAAGTAAAATTGCACAGCTCCCATTTTCAGCAAACTCTCATTATTTATGAAAATTGCAAAAAATTAACATTGCAAAAGAACAATATTGAGGACAGTTTTTCTTAAGGAAATCTGTTCTAAAAATATTAGAAATCAGAAATAAGGTTATGTACAATTTTTTTGAGAAAACAAACACAGTAGTTTTCAAGTAATTTTTGTTGAATAAAAGCAATTTATAACAAAATGTTTTTCTCAAAAAGGCTCCAAATATTCTTTAAATTTTTTCTCAGTTCGAGCCAAAGAATGCTTAAAAAATGGGGCATGTTATATTTTCAAAAAATTGTACATGTGATTATAATGATCTAATGGTTAAGAAAAGATTTAATAAAGATATATAACTACATCTTCGATAATGTAATTGTTTAAAAGGGTCAAACAAATTGCAAACTTTTGCTTTAGTTGCAATTTCAGAAGTGTATTATATAAAATATAATATAATACCTGCATTATTTTTATAAGAAAACTTTGTTTTATTACAGAAAAAAATTTAGCCTTTTCACAAAACTTTGAAATTGCCCTAGGTGTTTCATTAAAAGTACCCCTTAAAATGAAAAGGTTCATCAAATTAAAGGGACCACAACACCAAACTGATAGCAGAATTTTTACCTTGGAAAACAATCTGAGTACACTTTAGGTGCTAGTGCTGATTATAGATGTAGAGACATTTTGAGATGAACAAGTTTTTGTTCTTAAGAACAAATAAAACATGTATTTTTACTATAATATATAGATGAGAACGTCATATCACTTTCACAAGAGAGGAAACACTTTCATTATCAGGGACAGATAAAATGAGTTTTTCTGACAGAAATCAACAATCTTTCTTGCAGTAGTACATGCTTGCAGTAACTTCCATGATATGGAATATATGAGAAAGAAAAACAGCCAACTAATACTACCATTTGGGTCTTTATATCAACAAACATTTACTGATTTACCTGAATATCTTGTAATTTCATATCATACAATTCTTCGGGAGTCAATGAATCATAATTATCGAAATCTATATCCCACGATTCATTTTCTTCATCATCACTTTCTATGATTATTTCAAAAAACACAGTTTTTCGACTAATGTGACTGAATGTATTATCCCAACATATTTTGTAGTCACCATCTTCAGTAACTTCAGTTCTAAAAGAAGAAATTAGAAAATTAACAATTTTCCAGTAAGTACAAGGTAAAACACACAACTAAAATGTATCAATAATTAGCATGCATGGTTGCAGATACCAAACTCCTTTTCTCCATAATATTTTTTCCCCACAAAACATTTCTAATTTTACACGTTCAAATACTATTGCAGTTTAGTAGAATAGTATTCAGTAATATTAATTCAGTGCTATTTTTTTACTTTCTTACAATGAAAAGTACATTTCAAAAACATCAAAGAGACAAGACAGGTACATTTTTCTTAAACAGCAAAACCAACCAAATCAATTGCTGTTATGATTCTAATGGAAATATAAAACACGATAAATGTTAGTATCATATGAATAATAAAATACAATAGGAAATATAGAAACAGCAAACACAAAGAGACATTCACAGTAGTAGACAAGGAAGCTAACAAAAATAAAGTTTACAAAAGATGCAACAGTTGAAAGAAAGAAACTATGAAGTTTGTAAAATGTTTAAATGTCTATATCACACAAGTTATGTACCTCCTCTTATTCGTACACAAAATGTGTTCTTTGAACTTTTCACAAAATTATTATTTTTTACAGTAACAATATAGTATAACACAATTACAAATAGTTCTTCAATGAAACATTTTTGCTTTATCTTTGTGTATGGTGTTTCACATTACACCACCAACATCAACACATCAAACTAAAAAGCAACTTAGTTCTCTTGGGACCATTTAAATGAACAAATTGAACAAATATCTGTAAGGACACATACATAATTTTCCTTACACATGACATTTTATCCTTAATATATGAATATACTTTAATAATTCAAAGGCAAACAAATACAAACTTGTTCTTTTCTTAATTTTATTTTAAACTAAATTTCCCTAACTTCCATAAAGTAATAATCACATAATAGTAATTTTTCTGAATGAAATCATCACAAATTACTCATGATTTCAAACACAATTCAAGACTGTATGATTATACATCACTTTCAATAAATGCCATTATTCTCTGATAATACATGCTGTATAAATATTTAATAATAAATATTAAACAAAAAAAAAAATGAAAATACAGAATTTATTCCCAAATCAAAATGAAAACTTCATACAAAATCCTGAAATGAAATTTTTTCAATGATCAAAAATACAAACCTATGAGAATTTTCAGATTTTTTGAAGTCTGAAACTATTATTTTCCCAGATGGAGAAGCCAAATGAAAGTTAATGTCAAGTTCACCATGTCCACCATCAATCACCTGGAGAAAAAACAAGAAACTTCAATACAAGCTCAACTATACACATGGAGAAGGCGTGATTTACATCATTGTTTCAGATATAACTTTTACCTTAGCACTACAGTCAAGAATACCATGTATAGTATTATCAATACAACTGCAACTTTTCACATAATATACCCAATGTCAATTATCTAGCATCACACAAAATATTGATAACACAATTTAGTTTTAAAATAGATAAATAGAAAATGCTATGATTTGATTTGAACAATTAGCTTGGCTTAGAAATTGAAGTAGTCTTATGAAATGTTAAACCAAATAATATAATTTAAAATTTCTTTCATCAACTTTTTATACAATAACAACTTACTTGATATTCTACATCTACGACTTGTCCCTTTTGTACTGTTTGGTAAAAACATTCTTCTCGTCGTGGATCTATGCTAATAGTCATTTCTTTCTCCATACATAATAGTAATCCAATCTGACATAAAATAAGATACAATGCGAAATAACGCACTGGCACACTGTATTTCCAAAACATGTCAATGTTTCTGTGGTGTGCTTTCACGTGAACGCAGTTGAGGTTGAGCTTCCGTTGTACTTCGAACCACGAACCAACTCCCTGTAGTGGTCGGTAAATTCACCGGTACGGCACAATGTTTATACTTCCATTCGCTATTGGGTAATTAGTGTCTACTAATAAATAAAAAAGATTTTAACCAACGATGAATACGAACTTCCTGAGGTCGAAGATCTAACCAATCTACCTCATCAGGATCATTTCAGAAAATTAAATGGCACAAAAATTGGCTTTAGAAACAAAATCAACACGCTCTGCGTAGTACACAATAAATGCGCGATATAACATGAATTCAACTTCTAGAAAGGTATTTGATCCAAACGAATGTAAGAATAATCGATTAAAAATCTCGTATGTTGTAAGATTCTTATATTGTCAGTGACAATGTGGCAGTTATAAATCATATGACATCGGCAGTAAATTTATGTGAACAATTTAAACTGAAACCCATTCAGCTCTCATGAATGAAAATTCTTGACGTAAATATAAGAGAGAACATTAGCTTTGGATTCAAACGAGGTGTGTTAATCGAATCAATTGTCAATCAATATTTCAATTTGTTCCTGACATTATTTTTGTCTTTTATCCTTTATCGTGACCCATGCGAAGGAATCGACAAACTTCTACGAGAATATGGGATATTTTGGCGAATAATACATCAAAAATTACACGTGGGACAGGTTCTAGGTTGTTTTAAGTAAGTCATGTAGGACCTGTGTAGGTCGAAGAACGGAGCGGAGCCTCTTTATGGACGTCAACTCGCGAAGTGAAGCGTCAAATGTGACTTTGAAGTGTTTGGCAAATAAGTTCTTTGAAAAAAGTGCGTTGGAAATTAAATATTGGACGCAAGAATGTTTTATATTAATCGCACACAAGCCGAAATTTCGTCATGAAATTGGACAAGCGTAATGAAGCATCAATTCGCCTTAAAAGTTTGAGGTTATAAATATGACACTATTCCGTTCGCGAGTGCTTGTCGTTCACAATGTTCTAGCGTAAATGAGGCGATTTCTTCGTTTGTTTTTCTTCAGCAGGAAAGGAAAATATTATCCGTTACATATTTAGATTGGAGTATAAGTCAGTAGTTCATTCTCGTGTAGTTGCCTAATCTTGGGACCAGAAGAACTTGAGTTAGTTTGGCAATAGCTGTACCATACCCAATTACGATTTTCTGTGTTCTAAATGTATGTAAAATGAAATGGTCAAAGGGCGAAACAATGAACCTCTTGGAGGCTATAATAGTGCGCTCGAATTTACGTACGTGAAGTGAGTATAGGGGGTAAAAGTACGTCACATGCCGGGAGGTAGTGGTTATGTTCAGCGATTCTTCTGGGATGCGGTCGGTAAAAAATTGCACCAATGCGATCGCGATACAGTGACCGATTTCTGAAAAAATGGGGAAAACCTGGAAATCGAAGGAAATCAAAATGATGAAATTAAAGTCTTACGTGCTTTCGACTCAAACTTGAACGCTTGTGGAAGGAACACAAGCGGTGCTACAACGGCGCGTATTGTTTCGCGTTAGTAACTGATACGTAATACAATGATACCGCAATTTCTGTCCATATTAAATCTCACACATCGCTTTTAAAACTCAATACCAATCGTAACGCGTGGGAGGCAAATACTAATTCTTCGTAGCCAATTCATCAAGACAATTTCGACAAACCAAAACTGCTCTCCATACAGTGAGGAACATTATCGCCCAACAGAATTTGAGAATGAGATTTCTTTGAATTTCAAACTGCCTTTGCGCTTTGCCGTTGTCGTTTTGCGATCTCGTGACACTTTACTGCTTTAGCAAAAGAAGCGCGAGAAATTTGAAGTGCAATTTTGAAGACAGAACTACACTACTACGAAACTACCTACTCATATTTTTTTAAATGTTGCTGACCTTATTTAAAGATCTAATATTGAAAACATATTTTATTAAGTAAATACTCTTTATCATTAATAATGTAGTTTCGCTATGTTATTGTTTGCAACTTTCGAAAATACAGAGTGTTCGCCAAAAGTTGGACCAGCACCAATGTTTTTTAACGTCTTTACTACATATGAGGAAAAATTTAGAGCCGTTTATTAATTATTTAGAACCATTGTTTAACAAATGCCGATATTTCACGACGAATTACGTGAAAATACTCATTATTTCAAGATATATTTTTAAACAATAGATTTCATAAACGAAAAATCTCTCTCTTCAATATGTAGTTGTAGAAAGACGCCGAAAAATTGAACTTTTGCATTTTTTTTTAAAATAGGGATTTCAACGAAAATGAGATCTAAATGATTTTTTAGAGCGTCCTATACGCTATCCGAAGGCAAAGTTTAATCAAATGATTGGAAAAAGTAAGTGCTGTTGTAAGATCACTAGTTTCGAAATCGATTTGAGACGTGGATTATGCCTTCCCAATCGGTTAGAGAAAGTAATTCACCATGTTTAGGAACAAGATTTATCCACTTTTTCGATGCCAGGGCCCACATTATGAGATTTTCTTTCGAAAAATCGCTAATTTCTGCTGTAATATTTTAATAATTTCTTTTTTCTACGTAAGTATGTTGTAACTCGAGAAAGTAAAAAGCTGCTGCTCCATAACGCAACACGCGAATAGCAAATATTCAAGGGCGGGCGGTCTCTTCCGCGGAGGCTTGCTGTCGCATGACATCAGGTGTGTCATACGCAGTGACGCACATAGCATTAGAATCCAGGCGGTACGTGAAATATGAGTAGGCGGATTAACACAAGCATTTGCATTTTTAGTGAAAATCGAAACTTTAATTGTTTTCGTGAGATCAAGAGTTCCTGGACATCAAAAGAAATCATAAATACCTCTCACATAGCTAGAAGCTGCAGTTTTCTTTCATTACTGCGCACATTGGAAATTAGTATAATAGATAAAGGTTTAATGGAAGCGAAGGCCCAGAAATGTAGCCCCCACTCCTTTGGTTTTAGACTGCGCACGCTTGTGAGTGGATCTCAATTTAATGGAAAAGTTAGTGGTTTTAGTGAGTGAAAGTGTCATTCTAGCCAGAAGTGTGTAATTTTGAGTGCGTTAGAGGGGGAATTATGAGACTTGAAAGTACTCCAAATTTGCGTTACGTAATTTATGGACGGCTCCTTAGTGACGTTTTGCAATAAGTCGACGATAAATACATTTATTGCTTTAACCCATACTGAGTCCTTGGAGTGAGTGTTGTATGTTGTTTAGGAGATTTGACTCGTGTCTATATTGGTGACTGGAATACTTTTCTGTTCGGGAGACGCCGCGACCTAAACATAGTTGCCAACGTTTTAGTCGTCATACTGCGACCTTCCTTCGGTCGAAATGCGCGGAGATGGACGGAGAACGTGTTTATAAAGATTGACGTTTCCCCTCTCTCTGCTGACGGTTGGTTGGGCGATCTGCCATTGCGGGGAAAGCACTGATCCACCAAGCAACGCGACCAGCCTTCGCGGTAAAATATAGCCTCTTGAACACCCAGGATTTCGTCAGCATTCAAGTTTTCTTCCAGCGGTTTTCCCTAACCAGAATGCCGTTTTGTCAAAAATTATTGTTACAATTCGTGGGGGCTACGGCCGATTCCTTCTTTATATTTCGAGTATTTTACATCTCGTGCGGCCGTCTCTCGCATTCCAATCTTCACACCCCACTATTATTTCAGTAATTATCTTCTAGACCCCTTCGTTGCATGGCTTTAGAAATGTTTCTGAAATTCCTTTTTGAATCTACCGCTTTTTCTTCTGTATAATGGAAACCACTCACAAACTTTTCTGGATCATCTACCATAATCAAGCCTTTTCATGTGACAAAAACATTTCAGCCGCCGTGTTTCCATTTCATCTATAATTGATTTGTGTACCTGCATTCGGATAATAATTTCTTCATTTCTGAGTTGTTTAATTTCAGGAACTCAAAAACCCCACGTCAAAGAATACATTTGTAGTCTCATTCATTTGTCTCTTTCTTTTTTCTTTCGTTCCCATGTTTATGAGCCGTACAGTACTATTCCTTGTATGATAGTGTCAGAAAGTCGATTCTTAGTAGACCTGAATAATTCTTTTTCTTAGAGCGGCAACTTTAACTTTCGAATGGCTTATCAATCTCGAGTAATCTTCGAAAAATTTATTTTCTTGAATCTCATTCCTCGCTTGTAATTAATCCCAAATATTTGAATTCATGGCATGCTTCTGTCTGATCTTCATTTTCTGGTATATGCTTACTTTTATCCTCTTCCATTACCAAATACTATTTTCCGAAAATTGATCTTTAATCCTGATTTTTTAATGTTGCCTCAAACTTTCGCATCGTATACTCCATGTCAATCCCTTCATTGGACAAAATAACCTGATCCTCAGCGAATATTAATGTATGAAGGCTCTCATCATTAATGTATATTCCCAAATAAGGACATTTGTTCAGATATACCTGTTCCTGACTCCAGCTTGACCTCTCCTCTAAAGGAAGGGCGCCTAGAACAAAAGGGACAAATACCAGATGCAGCATAGACATTAGTCATTGGCAAGCAGCGGTGCTCTGCAGCCCGCGCGTGACCAGCACCTTCTCCACAAGGGGAGCTGGCCTGACACGAGTGGTCGCCGCCAAAGGACAGCATCTTCCGACACTCACATGCGAACGGGGAGTGTTCGTCAGCGCGCCGCTCCCTCCCAGGGTGCGTGATTGGGCGCCCCTCGGGTGGGGTGAAATCGCAAGACCATCGCGGCCACGGGAGCTCAAGCCATTAGTTCTTACTTCGGTACACTACTAATATACTTTGGCGCATAGACTAAAATTGGAACGATAGAGAGAAAATTAACATGGCCCTGTGCAATGATGACACGCAAAATCGTGAAGCGTTCCACATTTTTACGTAAGCTTTGTATTTCTGCACACGCAATGTTCAAACCGGCTGGCTAAAGATACACTGACCCTCTGTTTCTCTTTTTCTTTCAGGATTGGTCATAGATGCCCAAAAATAGTAGAAAGGTTTCACCGCAGCGGCGTGAACATGCACTGCACTTACCGTACATACGACAAGGCTCCATTTGTGTCGAAATGGGAAAATTCTTTAAATTAAATCGAACTCGCTCGCCTTTCGGCAAGAAAGGTCCGGGTTGATTCCCGGACAATGTCATGTGAAATTTGTTCCGATAAAACGAGTTTCTCTGCTTCTCAGGGTAGTTCTCAGGATAGTCCAACTCCTGCGAAGGGTCCTAAACCCTTTCCTGAAACCCTAGCTAATTCTGGCCGCTGAGTAGTGGCGAAGGAGCGGATATAGCAGGCGCGTAGGCGGAAATGCTACCTAGCGGTTCTCTGGTCAACGACATACG